TGGTGGCCTTTTGGATCCCTGCACTGTACTGTTGTCCAGGTGGGATTTTTGCTGGGTTCTATGTGCACTTGTGGTGGTATCTGGGCATGCCTCTGGCTAGGGCCTGCCCCACTCTGTAGCTGTTGTCTGGGAGGGCCTTTGGCTGGGTTCTGTGCTCCCCAGTTGCTGGTGTTGGGGCAGGCTTCTGGCTAGACCCCAGTTACCAATAGTATCAGGGTGGGCCGCTGGCTATTACTTTTGTACTTGTGCAGCTGTATTCCTGGTGGGCCTTTGGCTTGGGCCTATGTGCCCAAGGGCCTAGAGTTTGGGTGGGACCCTGGCTAGACCTTCTTGAAGCTGCACCCCTCTAGCCCACACTGCTGATCACTGGCATCTGTGAACACTTACATATGGTATTGGGGTGGGCCTTTGATTGTTGCTTGTACACCTTTAGAGCTCATATCTAGGTTGGATTTTGGCTCAGGTCTGTGTGCCCAAGCAGCTAGGTCAGGTTGGAGCCCTGGCCATGCCTGCCTAAAGCCCTGCTGCTCTGGCCCACACTGCTGCCAGCTGAGATCTGCATATATTTAGTAATAGTATCAGGGTAAGCTTCTGGCTCTTTCTCTTTTTTTAACCCAGGAGGTTCTACTTTCTCCCTAAAACCTTAATATTCTTAAATTTCTCCCAAGAATCATAAAGAAATTAAAAGAATGAAATAAGGAAGTAAGAAAGAAAGGAAATAAAGAAAAGAAATAAAGAGAAGGAAAGAAAGGAAACACAAGCTAGTGAATTTTGTCATACATGCCGCACAATGGACATTACTTTGGTGGCTATGGAGTGTCAGGCTTAGCCAGGAAAAGTGAAAAACCATCCTCCACAAACTCCCCTTCCCTCCCTTCTTTCCTCTATACACACATTACTTCCTTCACCACTATTCTTTGGGAGCACAAATTTAGACAGAGCCTCCTTTGAATTTGCTGAAAGTGGGTACTTAACTCTCAGACAGTCTGATGCCTCCATTTAGGCTGCAGCATAAACTCAGTGAGCACCAGAGCTAAGATTTTTAATACTCTCATCTTTGTTATAGAAACTTTTTTTCTTTCTTTCTTTTTCTGGTACAGGGGATCAATCTCGGGTCCTTGCGCTTGCAAGGCAGGCAGCAGAACCACTGAGCTAAATCCCCGGCCCACTCTCATCTTTTTTTGTTGAGAAAGTGAGTCTCAGAATGGTGAAAAGGGGGATTTCTCAAGTCTTCTCAGTAAGGAAGGGATAGATTCAGCACTGTCAACTTGGATTCATGGCAGAAGCAATTTACTGCTCTTAATAGTTACAGCTGGAATCTCCTGGCCATTCTCCTGGCAGTTGAGCTTGGATTCCCTCACAATTTTCCTAGAAGATGAAGAAGAAGGAGGAAGAGGAGGAGGAAGGGAAAGGAGGAGGAGGAGAAAGAGGAGGAGGATGAGAAAAGAAGAAAAATATGATGATGATGATGATGATGATGATGATGATGATGATGATGATGATGATGATCAGCTTTCCCATCTCTGGAACAAAATACTGAACACCCACAATTTAAAAGAGGAGAGGTTTATTTTGGCTCACATTTCAGAGGATTCAGTCCATGGTTGGTTGACTTCTAGGTAGAAACAGCATGGCAGAGGGGGATGGTAGAGGGAAAGGACTCAACCCACTGGCAGTCAGGAAGAAGAGAGAAAGAGAGGGAGGCAAGACAGGTTACATCAATTGATGAATCCACTGAAGAGTATAGTTCCCCCAAGATCTAATAACCACATAATAAACACATATGACTTTGATTAGACATTTTAGATTTAAACCATAACAATAATGATAGTGCTAACATAAGAATAGCTGACTTTTATGGGTCTCCACTCCAGAACTCCTTCTAGACACCAAAATTATTCTTGAAAGCAATGAACTGCATAGAGAGATTCAGGAGACTTCCTTGCAATTAGTTGGACTCCAAGTGCCACAACTTAGCATAAATGAGTATTTTCCTTTTGCTAATAGGCCAAGAACATTGCCAAGAACATCACTAAATCTCCACTTGCTAGCTCAGCTTTATCAACCCATAACATTTTTAATATAAAAAGATATTCCCTGTCAATTCACCACCCATTACTAGAAATGTTGCTTGACTGTTTCTTGAAAGAATAAACCCATGCTCAAAGAACAATGATTTGTAATTATTGACAGTATGGTGGAGCACTGGGCAGAGTGGGTGAGGGCTGGGGCGCGGACTCAAGGGCCCCTGGCCGAGTGGTGGCAAACAGGGCTACAGAATCCACTGGGCTGCATCAGGGCAGTGCACAATGTACTGCTGAGAGTGTTTATTCGACTGCTGCCATCTATGCTGGACTCGACCAAGGTACAGAGCCTGGTGGACAGGATCCCGGATGACCCAGACAACATACCACCCATCGATGTTCTCAGGATCAAAAGGGCACAGGGTGGTGAGTACTACTACTCTTTTAGGGGCTGCCACTATTATGCAACCTACCAGCAGCTGCAGCAAGAGACCATACTTGCCAAGTTTGTGCAGTCCACCATTTCAGAACTCTGAGTATATCTGGGCTCATCCACACCAGATTTTCAGTAGCAGTTTCCTTGCCCTCTGACACTGTCATGTCCAGGGAGATACCTGACCACTTTGGGCAGGCCAGCAGGGGCACCCCTCTTTGCACATGGGAAGTGAGGTTCTGACTCTCAGCACCCCCTTTACTAGCTGCCAGACTTATGCTAAGTAGTGTGAGAGCCCCTTTTCCACCTCTGTGAGAGTGGGATTGGGCCTCATACCTGAGCAAGGAGATGGATTTGGAGATTCTGAAGGAATTATCATTATGGCATCCTATTAAGTGGACTGTTCTGCAAGTAAAGACAAGCATAGGTAACAAGGACTTGAAGAAAAAGTCTGAATTCTGGAGGCAAATAGCCAAAATGGTATTGTTTCAATGGCAGGGAGAAGGGGAAAAAATGAGAGCCAAGACCTGTCATGTAAAGGTACAAGATCCCAATAATGAATGTAATTGTACTGTATGCCTAAAGTGTACCAATAAACTCAATGAGGAAAAAAATAACTCAGCAAAGATAAAGTTTATGCCTCTGAGATCCTTTTGCCCTAATTGCTTGTTACTTCATGGTCACAAGATGACTGTGATATCTCCAGGAATCATGTCCGTGTTCAAGGAAGAAAGGAGGGGGTCAGAGGAAGGGCCAAGCCTGCTGGGCCTGTCAACTTCCATCAGAAAGTATAATTTGTCCTACTCTTTCCCCTGCATATTTCCACTCCGGTCTCCTTGTCCCTAGCCAGCTACCTTTGCCCTAGGGAACAGAATTGTCATGGCTGAGCACACCAGTCATATTCCATCTCCTGGGACTGGCACTGTCCCTTTTGAAATAAGCTTTTCTTACCAGGAAAGAAGAGGAATTGTGTATCAGCTTTGCTGTATACAAACCACTTCCAAATGTAAGCAGCTAGAAGTTACTCCTCTACCCACAATTTCTGGGTTGGCAATTTGGGCTGGAATCACCTGGGCAGCTCTGCTGGCTTGTCCAAGGTCACAATGGGGCTACAGACAGCTGTCACCTCAGCCACGATTGAACTGGTTAGAATAACCTCATGTGCTTTTCTGAGGCTGTTGGCTAGGTGGCATGGTTCTCTTCCATGTGGCACCTTTACTAAGTTCGGTCTTATTACATAGTGGCATCACGGTTCTCAGAGATTAGAAGTGACAAGAACTCTAGACTAGGGACCAGGACAGTCTCACTTATAAGTTATTTTGGTCAGTGAAAATAGTAACACAGATTGCCCAGATGCAAGGGTTGAACAACAGATTGCACCACTAGACAGAAGAAACTACAGAGAACTTGGGGCCATTCTTGGCACTCAGAATTACTCTGCCTCCTTAATGTATAAGTTTAGATGGGCAGATTGCAGTATTACACACAACCCTCCTTGCCCTGCCCAGTCTAAGTCACCGAGAGACATGCCCTGGGGGTCTAGGAGAGGAGGAGATGGATGGGGCTGGATCCAGTAGGAGCATCATTGTCCACCCTGGTGTGACACAGGCAGCAGGGTGACATTCCAGAGGGGCTTTTGGAAACCACAAGTCCTGGGAAAAGGTGCAGGGTGAGGTAGGCCTTGGTGTCACTGCCCCTGGGAACTCAATCACCACATTTTCAAGCCTCAGTCTTGCAAGCTCAAGAGCAAGGGCAACAGCTCTTCCACCCATTGGAAATATGATTAAAAGGGATACAGTATAGTGTCTTAAATGCAAAATGGTATCTTGCATTGGATCTCAGGGGGAAAAGCCAGGCATTAGCAGGACAACTGGAAATGTAACATGGTCTAGATTGCAGTTAATAATTTTATACTAGTGTTGATCTCTTGGTTTTGACCAGTGTAATATGATGATGTAAGAAGGTGATTTGAAAGCTGTTGGGGTGAAGGGAGGGGCTGGGTGGAGATTAGATGGGAACTCTTTGTACTACCTCTGCAAATTTTCTGTGAATCTAAAGTTATTATAAAATAAAAGCTTATTTAGTTGAAAATTTGTTTGCATCTCCTCTTTGCAAAAGAAAAGATGATTGTTTTTTTTTAAACCAGGAATTTAACTCAGGACCATGCAGGTACAGCACCACTGAGCTAAATCCCTGGCCCCTAAGGATGATTACTTTGAAGAAATCACAATTAATTTTAATGAATTACTTCTTGTATGTGCATTAATAATTACCAACTCTTTCAACATAATATCTCAATACACTGGCATCCTTCAGGCAGAAAATTGCCATAGGTCAGGCTTCCCAGAGAAAGGAATAATCCTCACATTCTGTAGCAGAGGTGAGGCTGTGTTTTGTACTTCTAAATTGGCTTAGAAATCTCTATGTAAAGAATTCCATTAAAAGTCTATTGTTCTATTTTAAATAACATTTTTAAGATAAGTCAATGAATCTTTGAATGTAGATTGGATAACTGGACTCATCTATGTCTTCTTATTTTGTAGACATCAACAAAATGCCCTTTGAAGAACTCTGCTACAAGAATCCAAAGGTGGCCGTAGAAAAGATCAGCGAGGACTACAAAATATATTGTGAGAAAGCACCTAAAGTAGGCAAGTGTTTAAACTTAAGACTAGATTTGAGGCAAAATCTGAGGATTTTCTGATGCAAGGGGCATCAGCCAAAAAAGAAACCAAACTTTGTTTGCAGTGGAGATATAGTCAAGAGGTAATAACTATTTATTTTTTTCCTCCTAAAAGCCATAGAAAGGTATCACAAGAATTAGATGCAATTATAAATAATCAAAACAATGATGATTAAAATAGTTCATTTTGTTATCTAGTAGGGATTTTAAACAATACAGGTTAATCTTCTGCCCAGTTTTCTGGAATCAGAGACTTGTGGAGGGATGTTTTTTAGGGATTGTTCTTGGGATAACATCTAGGAAGGAGTGAGGAAGGCAGCACTGGACAGAGGTAGGTGCTGAACTATGATGCAGTCACACCAGGCTTTGGTGGGTACTATAGGACATTTTGAAGCTAAAATGTTTCTGCAGAGTTGACCTTCTTTAAATCAAGGGACTTGACCTTTTGCACTTCCACAATGACCCAGATTTGATGTGGAAACCCCTGCAGAGGATATAACCTCTCAGGCAATTTCTTTTAGTCAAGGCAAGTCCAGGGGGACCCTCAGCTGTGAGCTGTCAGCAGCCAACAGTCAGAAAGCTAGGGAAATGAGTGCTTTGGTCCTAAAAAGAGGATCTAGGTAGCAGAACAACTCTCCATTTGCTTTGTAAAAAATCTTACCCGTTTTTTGAGTAGCTTCTCCAGGGATCAGTTTAGTTTTATTTTTTCTCCTGGGGAACTTATTCTAAAAAGGCTTCAACTTCTGTGGGACCCAAACTGAGAGGTCTGGAGATCTTTTATCACTCCTCTGCTTGCCATCCTTGCTCAGTTGGGATCCACTGGTTTTGTCAGGGCTTACCAGGAAGGATGACTTAGACTCCCAGCCCTGATTTCTCTGAGCTTCTGGTCGTAATTATTCAGGCTGTTGCTACTTACTAGTAAATTTATCATCAGAATTGGGTTAGGGAGTATCAAGAATGACGAGAAAATTCTCTCCTTCCACTATTACTTTCAGTTCAGTCCAATACCATTGGGTTCATTCCAGTTTTCTCCCTTTCAATGTTTCTAGCTCTTGTCCATAGCGGTGAGAAATCTGACTCCCATTGTCTTACATTTATCTACTTATTTGATTAATCCTCTCTGTGCAACTCAGCATTGTATCTCATAGATACCTTTCTCTCCTTACCTGGGCTCCATTTCCCTGCAACAGCACCTCCAGTCACTCTCCTAGCATTGCTTGAACTCCACCACCTCTATCCAGGCTGTTCCTTTTTGTGGAAACCTTACTTGCTCTGATCCCTTTGGTAACTTATGCCAGGCCACCACTGCATATGGTAGTCTTCATGTCACTCAGGCTCTGACTCCCCATACCTGACCATCTTTTCGTGGGCACATCTTCCTCACCATTTTCAGGTCCTAACTCTCCACACCACGCAATATTTATTCGGTTTTTGGGTTCTTTTCTTTTCTTGCTTGGACCCTATTCCCATACCAGGCAACCTCTTAACATAGATATCTTTGACCTAACTGGACTCTGAAACCCCATGTTGGGCTATACCTAGTGAGATTGTACTTCCTATCTGCCTAAGTTCCAAAACTCCATTGGCTTTCTACCCTGTCCTCTAACCTAGATTTTCTTTTCCCTTGACTTGAGCTACACACACTGGACCAGCCTTTGTCATGTCTTTTTCATCCTGCTGCAGGTCTGAATTCTGTGAGCTAGGTTGCCCAGTGCACCTTGGTTAGGCTTCAGAATACAGTGCAGGAAGTCCTGTGGGGGATTTCTTCTTACACTACCTAGGGTCTGACATCCTATTAGGTCACTACTTTTTAATTTTTCCCTTTAGTGCTGTCACTTAGCTTGTTCTCCCCTAACTTATGATTTTAGAACTTAATTGTTTAGAATAGAAATCCATCATGTAAGTTTTTTAAAGAGTGGCAGTGAGAGATCTGAGCTGCATACTGTATAATTACTACAGGGTCCATAGCTGCACGATAGCATGGTTAACTCAGTGTAGCCATTTGGAGAAACTTCTATGTCTTCACTGAGTGTTTCTCCAAGCCCTACTCCTACATACCTGGTTTATATAATTTTAGTTCTGTTCACAGCTGAACATCCTCTTAGTATGACTTTTTGACCTGAGTCAATTAGCACCTCCACCCCTTATCTCAAACCATCCTCCCCAATAAAAGGAAATAAAATGCTAAGACCTCATAATTGCTTTCCCAATCAGAACTTAGAAACTCTTTTACTGCAAATCATCCAGAATCTGTTCTTCTTTCTCTTTTTAACCACTATTGATCTCTTTTCCTAATAATTATTTATAATTATGGGAAGAAGTAAAAAGAATATGCTTGATCTACTGCCCTATCAAACAAATATAACTTTTATTCTACTTCTAAATTATAAATATTTTCTTCCTTTCCAAAGGTAATGGTAGGTTAGTTCTATCTGGGTTTGATTAATTTGCTTAATATTTTTGAAACATATAACTTGAATGAAACATCACGCATTAGTGTTTGGCTTGTGTAACTCACCACTATGTTTGTGAGTTCAGCCAAGTTGTTGAATTCAGCAATTGTTGACTTATTTTCAGTAATGCAGAGTGGTTGCACAAGCATGACTTAAATTTGCTATTGCCTGCCTTTAGGGAGCCTCTTGTGGCATAAACTTTTAATATAAAAATATAATATGTATCTGTATGCATACCTATGATATATACAAAAGGAAATATTGGTTATGAAGCCCAATAAACAATTGTCAACTCAATGGGACAATAACATCCTTTTTGAGAATGCACATATGAGTATCTAAAGTATAAATATACTGTATTTTTAATTCATTCAAAGTTGACAAGCATTTGAATTTTCTAGTTTTTTGAGATTCTGTACAGTCATGAACTACATAACATCAGTGGACTATATACAGAAACTATGGTTAGTATCATATAGTGTGTGGTACTGTATACTTTCTAGGTTTGTGTAAATACACTCTGATGTTTGCACAATGCCTGCAGCACCTAACATGTATTTCTCCAAAGATATTGAACCATAACAATATAAAGTTCCTATGAACATCTTTCCACATATTATTTGATGTACATATGAGCATATTTCTGTCAAATATATACTGAGAATTTATATTTCAGAAGATATACCTATATTAAACTTTAATAAACAATTCCCAATAAACTTGTAAAGTATTTGCACAAATTTATATACCACCAATAGAATATGGGAAATCTAGTTGCTCTACAAACTCACAAATATTTGATGTACCAGTATTTTTTTTCCTCTCCTTCCTCCCTACTTTGTGGGTAAGTATTCCTATCTGTGTTGTTTAGTTTCTGGACACTTTAGTTTCATTAGTCTATTTTTGCTTTCTGGCATGGTTATAACACTATTAACTATGATAAATTTATAGCAAGTGTTGATAATTGGTCAAATTAACTCTCTTTTTGTTTTACATCTTTAGAAATAACATATTTTCTTTTTTCTGAGTCTTTTCTTTTCTTTTCTTTTTTTGTACTGTGGATGAAAGTTGGGACCGTGTGCTTGCTAGGCAGCTGGTGGAACTGCTGAGCTAAATCCCAAGTCCTTCTGTGAATATTTCATTTGTCACTGAAGAAAGAAAACACAGCAGGAAGTTCTGTGTTGGTTTCAATATAAACAAATAGTTCATCTTTAGTGTAACTACTAAGCTCCAAAATTGAAATCAACACTGTCAGTAGTACAAATTGTCAAAAGACTCTGTCCTGGAGAAAGAAAATTAGGAAAAACAATTTAAATAGTTTCTCCAAACCATATTTATAAATATTGTCATCAAAATGCTTCAAAGGCATGAATTCTCTATTAATGCAACAGAAAAAAACACAGCAATAGTTTAGCAAATGTTTTAAGTTTAAAAGCTGTATAGTTTCTGGATTGCACTTGAGCAGTATTGCATTACAATAAAGACTTAAAACTTCTTTTTACCTAACTGCAGTAAAATATACAGAAAATCCCACTGATTCAAATGTTTACTGCACTTATAGTGAACCTAAAAACTTTGTAAAATTAGTTAATAATAAATACCTCAAAATAACTAAAGAAGTATGTTTCAATTGCTAATGGTATGAAAACTGTTTCATATCTCCTGGTTTAAAGAATCTTCAAATACATATTCTTTAATAGAACATTACCTCATTCCAAATTAATATCAGATATTTCAAAACCAAAAGAGTAAGGATATGTTCCGCACCAAGATACGGGTATTATTACTGAATACCTGATGGGTTCACATTTTAAATGTGTTATTTTTTCTTTTTTTTGGAAACAAATGATTGATGAAGTAATGCAACACCTTAAATTCCAGAAAATAGCATGATTTCCCAACCTCTTATAGATAGGGTGTATGACCAATCTATTATACAGGATTAATACAAGTTTATGCTTGTGTTAGCATAGCTTTTCTTAACCCTTTACATTTTTTTATCTTATTGAGTTTATTGGTGCTTTAAAAGTATACAGTACAGTTACATTCATCAGTGGGATCTTGTACTTTTACATGACAGATCTTGGTACTCAATATTTCTCCATACCCCTGCCATCCATTCACCCCCTCCAGCTTCCCCTATTTACAAAGACTTTGTTTCCATTTTTTCCTTTTCTCATAGTTTTTCTTGTCCCCTATTTCCTTTCACCTACCCTTCTTATTTCCACTACACATTTAGCCCTTTTCTTCTTGTTTCACATTGTCAGTTATATAATTTGGATCTTATTTACACTTTTAATTTTTCACACCAGAGAAACTATTTGGTATTTACATGTATGTCTTATTTATTTCACTTAAGAGTATGGATCAATATGCATTCATTTTCCTATGAATGTCTCTATAATCTCAACATTTTTTGCTGAATAATACTCTATTTTATAGAAAAACCACAGCTTCTTTATCCAGTCTCCAACTGATGAGCACTTGGGCTGTTTCCAAGTTTTAACTATTACAA